ATAATTTCTTGTGTTCATGAAGTGATTATCTCATCACCCAATTAATTCTTCTTGATATTCTTGATGTGATGATATGAATGCATGAAATACTCATGATATTATTTTGATGCATACAAATGAGAAGTTATGATCATATATGGTAGGATGTAATTTGATATTCTGATACCATCATGATGTGAAATATTTTTGATTTGGAATGATATGTGCAATACTCATGATTTTCTTATAATGTATATGATGTATTGCAAATATGAATCATAATTAAAATTACCTTGATTTGAATTCAAGGTTTATCTCAATTATGATATATTGAAAAAGGATTGATACTTTATCTTTGTCATGATTTAAAAATTGATGTAAATGGTATTCCATTTTGTTTGACAATGACAAAGGGGGAGATAAAAGATGCTAGCTTGCACAATTCAAGAAGAAAACAAAAATTGCTAACTTGTGCATTGTAAAGAAAGTAAAAAATTAGCACTTCTCATAAGAGAAGAACGGATTTGCAATCTTGGACATCACTAAAAATTGATAGATTTCCTATCTTAAGAAGCAAAAATGTAAACTTACAAAATTTACATCTTTAAAATTAATGATTATTTGGTGATTATGCAGGTTGTAAGTTGGTGAACAAATGTGCTAGCTTGTATGATGGTAAAATTGGAGATTATATTTATTTTGCAATGATTTAAACTTGTATGTCTAAAAACTTTGATAGTTACACTTCTCCTATTTGTTGGTGATAAAGGGGGAGACGTATGATGTTATACATAAGTTTATGATAACATATTGCTTAGATTTTTTAATCCAAGAGTTCTATCAATATGACATATTGATAGGAGAAGTTTGTTTAAACTCCGTCATCAATTGGTTGTCATCATCAAAAATGGGGAGATTGTTGAATCTCGGATTTTGATGATGAAACCAATTGTAGTGTTGTTCTAATATACATTTGAGTCATGCAGGGCTAACGTCGATCAGGAGAGGCAAATTGATTAAAGTAGGAGGAATCAGACGTTGGGTCGGAGTGAACATGTCAGAATATTGAACGTCGGGCCAGAGGAACGGTCGACGTATCGGCAGAAGGCTTCGAGTCAAGAATTTAGGCATCAGGCCTAGAAGAGCAGATATTGCATCAAGGAGATCAAAGTTACTGAGGTTAACATGCCGATTGGGCAAAGACCGTAAAAAAGGACGATGCGCCAAAGGATTGGATGAAGCGTCGGAAGAACCAATGACATGTCGGACAACATAGGATTCACTTATAATCAATTATATTTAGATTGAGTTAGTTTAGAGTCTAATCGAGTCGGTTTAGAATGTAATTAGACCAACTCAATTAGGGGCCAACTAGGCCCTAAATAGGGTTGTTTTGGGCCAAGAGAAAGACCCATTTCAGTGACCCAAGTTTAGGCTGTGTTGGGCTAAGTGGAAGGCCCAAACAGTGACTCAACAGGTGACACCGTCGTGGCACAGTCACCAAGACTTTGTCAGGTGGTGGTACCGTCCAGACATAGTCTCCCAAGCAGTGGTACCACCAAACTGGGTGGTGGTATTGCCCATTGACAATGCTACAGGTGATGGTACCACTAGGACTCGGGAAACCCAGGATGAGACATTTTTATGCTCTAAGTTTGAATCAACTTGAGGCCTATAAATACCCCTCTCATCCCTGGTTAACTTAAACAAGCACAAAGAGCTTAAAAGTGGGAAAATACTATTACAATCACTTGAGAGATCCCCTCTTCTAGTCTAAGTTTAGAATTCTGTTTAGGAGGAGTGAGTGCTTGTAAAGGTTGTCTCCTAAACCTATGAAAAGGAGAAGAGGGGTGTAAAAGGTGGTTGGTCTTCGCCTATTGAAGGAAGACGGATAGTAGATATGGGTGGCCTCGACGGAAGAGGAATCGATGGTGTAATAAAGTGCATGAAAGGGTAATATTTTTTTACACTTTGATTGCACTTTGTTACCCTTTTCTGCATGAAAGGGTAACAAAGTGCAATCAAAGTGTAAAAAAATATTTAAGTGTTAGGGTGTAAAAGTGTTATAAAAGTACAAAGAGTCCTCCTCTCTCTCTTGTCTCCTAAAAAAATATTTAAGGATTGTCTCCTAAAAACATGAAAAGGAGAAAGTACAATAAAGAGTTGGTTAGTTTTTGCCTATTGAAAGAAGACAATTAATGAATGCCGGTGACCTCGACAAAGGAGGAATCAGACGTGGATGTAGGTCGGACGATTGAACCACTACAAAATTGGCGTGCTCTTGCTGCCTACTTTACATTTGCTATATTACTTTATTGCAAACTGTCCAATCCCCTCTTTTATATTCACTTACAAGTTTACTCAAGTTAAACATATTCTCAAAACGGTTTTTCATAGAACTAAGAGTTTCGTCGTACGAAGTTTTCTAAAATCATTTAAATTAATCATTTTTATCCGTTGCACTAATTCACCCTCCCCTCTCCCCCTCTCTCTTAGTGTCATTCTTAATCCTAACAATTACACTTATTTCAAGTGAAGCACACTTTCGATATCATATCTGATATATGCTTTATCAAAATGATTTTTCTAAATCATTGATGTTTTTCGATAGCACTAATTCAACCCCCCTCTTTAACGTCGATTTCAATCCTAATACTATTGAGTAAGGTTATGGAACACCTATGTAGATATGGTGACGGAAGGGGTAGGCAGAACAATAGGTTGGACGATTGATAAAACCTATGTGACAAGAAGAGTCTTTGTACGCTTTGAGCCAAAAAAAAAAAAAAAAAAAAAAAAAAAACTCTACGTGACAAGAAAAGTCTTTGTACGTTTTGAACCAAAAAGTACTTAAAAAAGAGTCGAATAGTTAAACTATTTTATGAAAACTTCACTTAATGAGTATTTAATTTGTTCAGGTAGGATAAGTTTACCCTTTACTTAGTTAGTTGATAAAAATTTTGATGAATCATTATAATAATATCCACCTAGTTCAAATTCTATCATTATCAAAAGAAACAAAATTAAAAAATACCCAAAAAAATAACTATTACATTGTTTCCAAAAAAAAGTCTTAATTGTCAAGGAACCCTTTGAGATAGGGAGGTTTGGGTATATTTTGGACCAAAATATCCAATAATGAGGCAATTATATTATTTCCAAACAACCTTACAACCGGTTAAATCTTCATTTATTAATGTCTAATTTTTGCACATCTCTAAATAACCGTTCAGATTCATAAAAAAATCTTTGTGATAAGAAGGTTTCTTTGGGTATATTTCAAGAAAAAAGAAATCAAAATATGATGCTACGAGGAACCTCACTCATTAGCATCTATCAATCGTAGTGTGGTTCATCTTCATTCAAGTAAGTCGTAGCTTGATTTACTCAATCTTTTTTTTTATTATTATTTTGATTCAATCGTATCAAATTTGTCCGCTTGGCTTTGGTACTATTTCAAAAATCAAATGATTATTGGTTTAAGTCAAACCGATCAATGTTAACGTATAATAGGTTAAACATCAATTCAATCCCAAAGCTTATAGCTTAAGCAACTGAGTTACGATAAAAACCTAGTATATGTAAATTGATGTTTTTGATTCTTAACGATATGAGAATAGTCTTTCAGTCAACCACTCTTTATTTTATATACATGAATATCTTTGATAAAATTCTATTATATTAACGATGTATAAAGACTCTCACATATGGATATGAAACCCATCAACCATATAACTATGTACTAATAATTAGGATATCTTAACAAAAACTAAAAAAAAAACAATGTAACTACTCCAATCTTGAGAAATGATATAGTGAGGTTGTCATATTATTTTTAAAATATATTATAATTGGCTCTAACTTACTAAATTATATCTAAATTTGTTGAGGCCTTCATGATAAGGGAGTTTTGTGGGTATATTTTAGGCTCCCAAAAACTCAAGATTAGATGTCTAGGGAGCTTACTATATAGAGCTCTCTTCTTACCATTCATAATCTCTTACTATTTATAATCTTTTTTTTTAATTAATAAAATAAATATTTTACTATTCATAATACTGTTAATTCTATTTTTACTCTTCTCTCTTTTTTTTCCTTTTCCCCCTTTCTCATAACCTTACTTGAACACACTACTACCATCGACTCTCCACCAATTCTATTGGGCAATTTGTAAATATTCGAAATATGATATTTTTTGGGTTAATGCAACTGACCTAAAAGATAATATTCTTTGGGCTATTATAGAATGTATATAACTCTAAGAATTTTAAATAATTATAACAAACATCAAAAACTATTTTCAGGAGGAGGAGAAGAAGAAAGAAAAAAAGAAAAGAAAAGAGAATTATAGATAAGAAATGAAAATATTTAATTGGAGTTAAGTTATAAATTAAGAATATATATATATATATATATTTAAAAAAGATAACTTAGGAATATGTAGAGTTCATAACGTGAGATGGTAAATAATAAAAAAATAAGTTTATAGTAATCTGCCGCTAGGAAACCTTATATAACGAAAATTTTTCAATCTTGTCTATGTGCTTAGGGGTTTTTACTTATAAAAATATTATTTAGATAAAAGAACACTCAACTCAATAAGAGAATAGTTACACTATTTCTCGAAATTGATCAAAACTTGACTAGTAGATGATGATGATGATGATGATGATGATGATATATATAAAATTTTGTTTATTTCTTTCGGCGAAGATCCTGGTGATGAGGAGGTTGCATTCGGGATTTGAAAGCAGTCAGACAGCAAAGCATCGCAAAACGGCGTGAGACCCACATGGTTGGCCAATGATGCCAATCCCAAGTGGTGGGCGTACCAACCCTACGGTGGAGAGATAGGGATTCCGCTGTTCCCTGGCTAGGTTAATGTATACGAACGAGAACCCCGACACGTGGGACCTGGTTTCCACGGACCGTTCAGATCAGAGGCCAAGAGAGGTTTAGAGTCGGTGTTGGATAGGATCCTTCGCGGCATGGGAAAGGAACTTCCATGCTGGTTAGCAGAACCCAAACTCTAATTGCTCCGCCGAGTTGGTCGTCCCGCCCCATCGAACCTTGATCTCTCGTCGCTACGTGCTCTTCGAGGGCCGTGCGATTCAGGGTTTCTCGGTGAGGACAGGCGCGATTAGGTTCGGGGACCGAGGAGATGGATCCCGAGGACGAGCCGCGAGACAACGAGTCCGCCGGGGACGGCGACTTCTGCAGCGACGATGGGATCGCCGACTGCGACTACGGGGACGCCGATTTCCCCGAGTCTCAGGAGATTGTCTCCCCTCTTAAGGTGCGCAAAGAAGAGATTTTTTTTGGCTTCCGATTAGGTGTGATCGAAGGATAGGCAAGGGATCCGCCGCCTTGTCGCGGAGCTTAATTAAGCTAGTTGCATAGAAATTTTGGTTTCTTGTGAAGACCTAGATCACTGTTTATTCTAAAAAAATCGTTTATTTTGGTTTGAATTTACTGTTGCAAGTAGTGGCGATACTTGAAACTGTGATCAGTATAAATACACGTAAATACCATGTGCAGTGTTCATGAAACAACCAAAACAAAGAAATTATAAAGAATTTCATCCTGAGTCAATTATAAGTGAAATCAACCAAGCCCATCCTACTAAATGTTAATGTTGTATTCACATTCTTATTTAGCCAAAGTTATGGATAAGTTGCTATGCAGTAAGCTTGGGACTTCTAAATTTTAAATACAATTCTATACCATGGTTCTATGTTGCAGCTTGACCACTTCATTCCACTGCCCACCTTTCTCAAGTTTGGTCTTATAATGGAGAAGTATTCCTTTGGGTTGAGTGATCAGGGACAATACAGCAGAGTTTTAGTCAAACTTCATTTCGGACCAACTGGAATTCTAGTCGAACTCCAATTTGATCCTGGTCAAACCAAAACAAGACAAGTCCAATCTCGAGACCGGATTTAAGTCAGCTCCAAGTCCTAAATACATTAGGACCCTCCAGGTCCTAATCTAGCTATGACTCCATCCCTACCTCAGCTATAAAAGAGGGAGGAGAGCCCCATTTAAAGCATCCCCAAGTCAACTCAATCCCGATCCTACTAAGTCTAGGATTGGGGAAACCCTCCAACAAAAGACTCCTGCAGTTGCAAGGAACTGAGGAGAAGGTGTGCCTCCTCTTGAGCATGGAGTTTGGAAGTTCATCAACCCTTCTTCCTCCCTGCAGTCACCTTACTGCGGAGATCTTTTTTGAATTGCTACAAGCCTTAATAGCTTCCAAAAAAGCCTTTGGCAGCAACAAGAAGAAGATGAAAAACAACCAAAGGCAGCTAAGAAGCAGCCCTAGCCTTCTAGCTTGCGCCAAGAGCCAAAAGAAAAGGGGTTCAGAAAAAGATTTTGCCCCTCAGTCATAGCCCCTTCTTCCTCAAGTTCCAATAGCCAAAGTCCTTCATCCAAAATTCGTCTAGTTGTTGCGAGAAGTTCCAAAGCCTTGCTATTTGCTGCTAAAACCTTAGAAGGAGGTTCCAGCAGCAAGAGAGATAGAGGAGACTGAAACCGACAGCAATCTCCAATCTGCCAAGAGCACCCAGGTGTTGTCCAAAGACAACTGGCATCCTTACCTATATATAAGTCTTACATCACACTTTTATTCTGTTGCTTAGTCCTTGTAGTTGCCATTTTACTTTTACAAGCAATAGAGGTTGTTTTCCTTTCGTTTTTACGCATGTTTCTAGTAATAACTCTCCATCAAAACTTTTCTCTGAGAGGTGATATCGGATCGACGGATCGTCAAACCTGAACCCCATATGGATCAGGTGGTCTTAGAGCAATGACCCATCTATTATGGATGATCAGTGATTTAAAAAGCGCTAGGCGCCAAAAGGCGTCAAGGTCCAAAAACGCCCGAGGCGCTAGGCGCTTGCCCAGGCGCTCGCCTGAGCGAAGCGAGGCGCTAAAATATAAAAATATATAATATAATTAATAAATATAATTATTTAAAATTTTAAATAAAAATATGTTATTAAATTAAGAAAATCTAAGATACAAAATCACAATATCACATTAACAAAAAGTTTCAAAATTCAAAACAATAAAATTTTACATCAAAGTCATTTATGTTGAAACCTAGTAATAATTTCAAATAAATAAAAATTAACAACATTAAAATCAAAATAATATATTATTAATCTATTAACAGTATTGAAAATTAATCATTTCAAAATTCAAATAAACTTAATATTAAGAGTATACTGTATACTGAGCCTGACGGAGAAACGAGGAAGCAGCGGCGAACGGCGGCAGCGGGAAAGGGAAAGGGAGCGGGAGGCGCGAGCAGCGGGAGGGCTCGCGGGAGTTGCGAGCAGCGGGAAGGCTTGTGGGAGGGCTCGCGGGAGGCGCGAGCAGCTGGAGGGCTCGCGGGAGGCGCGAGCAGCGACAGCGACGAGCAGCGAGATCGGGAGCGGCAGCTGCAGCGGGTTAGGGTTGGGTAAGGGTTATATCGGTTTAGTTGGTTCGATTGAACCAACTAACAACCGAACCAGACCTAAAATCCTGGTTCGGTCACTTGGTTTACCTAGGCGCTCGCCCGAAGTGCCCAGCGCCTGGGCTCGGGCGAGCGCCCAGGCGGCGCCTGTTTGAAGCGCGCCGCCTGGGACATTAGCGAGGCGCTCGGGCCTCGCCTCGCCTCGCCCGAGCGCTTAGGCGAGCGCCCGAGCGCCTCTTTCAATTACTGTGGATGGTTACCACTAGGCACGAATACAAAGCCTCTAGAGAAAAACTACGGGAGTTGGAGTTTTAATGATGCTCACCTGGAGGAAGAACCATCGATAGGATGACAGTCAACACTCCGACAGCCTTGGCTGACCTTACTCCCTAGATGGCATTATTAACCCAAGAGATGGAGATCGTGATGGGCTATATGCAAGCCCAAGCCAACAGAACAAAGAAAAATAATCGATCAAATAATGTGGCAACAAAGGAGAGGGTGTCGTCTCCATTCAAGACATACAGCCATGAAGAAGATGTTGTCGAGCAAAACGTCGTAGCAAAAGCTTAACCCATTCAAGTCGAGGTCCACATTGACATACCCTCTTATGATGGCTCGATTAACACTAAGGTATGAAACTCTGGATAAATCAACTTGACTCTTATTTTGATTTATATGATTACAATAGTGAGGATAAGGTGATGCTTACGCAATCAAAGTTATCTAGACATGTGCTCGCATGGTGGAAAACCTATTTTCGAACCAACGACAATAAAGATGTGTCATAGACATAATTTAAAAGGCTTATACAAGAAGAATTCTACCTTATGGGGTGTCTTGAAGAAGGATTGAGGAAGTGGCACTACCTATGCCAAGGAAAGGATTAGTCTGTGCAAGAATACACCACTGAGTTTCGACAATAAACGGTGACGCTCAGAATCTCTCTTAACGACCACTTGACAATGATGAAATACAATATTGGCCTCCATGCACAAATTCATACATAGTTGAGTTTCTTCAAAGTATATGATATTTTGATCGCTAGCAGCATGGCATTGGCGATCGAGAGAACGAATCACATCAATAGCGAGAAGCCTATAGAAAAGGCCAAAGGAAGCCACCTGAAGGCCCAAGAGAATTTTAGGGATGGTAAAACCTCATCTTCTTCGAAAAGAAATGAATTATTTTGTGATCACTATAAAATTGCAAGTCATACATGGGAGAAGTGTTGGAAGGTTTATCCCAAACTCTTCCCGAAGAAGTGGTTGAAGAACGATCAAAGTCAGTGAGCCACGTCCATGACCATGATCATGGACGATGACTCCATCGAGCTTTCATCGGTCTCACATGCGAATCTGAGTCTATCGCTGATGGCTAAACCAAAGGTTATAGACTCGAATCTGACCCTCGGTCCAAAGGTTTGAGAAGAGCCATTTAATGTAAATATCTAAGTGAAGCAAGAAGTCATTGACACAATTTTTGATATCGTGCCAAAAGAACCTCATCTCATGAGCTTGGTCAAGAAGCTCGACGTAGAGACGACACTGCATCCATTCCCTATTTTCTTGGATGGCTTCATGATGATGTGAAGATAAAGATTGACCAATAATGCAAAATACGCTTCACCATCACAAAGGAATTCATTGACAAGGTGACGTGCGAGGTGGTTCCACTTGGGAACCCCTATTTTAAAGGGTTGAGATGTTTACTTTTTGTTGACCCCAAAAGTATCACTCCAAAAGGATGGAAGGAAGTTCCTTGTCACCCAAGATCTAATTAGATCGATGGAAGATTTGACATTCGTTGGCCAAGCAAAAAGGATGGTGATGGCGTGTCAAAAACTCATGACTCTTACTTTGGCATGCAGAAAACCAAGTCTAACATAAGAAAAGTAACCTCAAAGCCTTGAAAAGAAAAAGAAAGCTCTCGAGTCGATGGAGATCGACAACAAGGATAGCCCAATCAAAATGACATGCAAAGACAGCACGATGATGCCAACCACATGTTAGGATCCTTTTTATTTTCTGAGCTTTTGAATAATGTTTATTGAGTCTGTTTAGTTCAGTTAGTGTCAGATAGATGTTTATTTAATATTTATTTATTATTAAGAGTCCAAGTCCTGGTGGACTCTAGGTGGAACTCTATAAATAGTGATGTAACAATTTCTTTTTGGTAGATAATGAAATATTATTCAGTCTTTTGACTAACTCCAGGAGGCCGATCGCCTCGAAGTGATCATCCCTTTTCCCCTCTTTCTTCTACGATAAAACCCTAGGGTCTTATCATTTCGTACTAGAGCAGCGTTCTTTGGCGTTCTCGTTGTAGTTATCATCGACTAAAAAAAAAAAGAGAGAGAGAGAGAGAAAAGGTCGGCCGCCCGCACCCCTGCTCTCCTTCTCCACCACCGTCGCTCGTTTCTCCACTGCCGCCGTTGCTCCCTGGCTAGCAACCTCCCCCTCTCCATTACCGTCGCAGCTTCTCGGACAGGGCGACTCATCTCCCCACCGCCCTGCTCCCTGGCCAACAACCCTCCCTCCTCGCTGCCCAACCCTACTTGAGCGAGAAGAGCCGCGACCGCTGTTTCCTGACCAGCGGACCACCCCCCTTCGTCGCTTCTACTGACGACGACACTGCCCCCCCCAACCGCACCACCACTGCTGCCTCTTGACCTAGGCAGCAACCTTCCCTCCTCGCGGCGACCGAAATAGGGCAACCCTGCATCTTCTAACGTAGTCGCTGGTCATCGCAGTTTCTCGGCCAGCAACCACCGTTGTCGCTGCTCCCGACCAGTGATCAACCTCCCTCGTTCCGTCGCAACCGCACTCCAGCAGTGC